TGTCGCTTTTTAAAGGGCCAACTCAATAAAATAAGGAAATATTTTGTTAGGTTTAGGAGTTTTAATTTTATTATTATTATTTTTTTAGGCCCTTTCAAACTAGAGGTCCTAGGCAATGGCCTAGGTCACCTTGGGCCAAGGCCGGCTCTGGTGGCAACAATAACAATTGACCAAAATAAAGGTGGCAGTGGTGGTGGGAAAGTGATGGCAGTGATGGACGATGATGGTGATGATTTCCACTGTCACTAGGGATGGCAGTGGTCACCATCATTTCGTTAAGCCCCTACTTGGTTTAACTAATAATCATATTTTTAGTAATTTTTGTTAAAAGTTGATAAAATGTGAGATTGAAAAGCTGTGAATCTTATAAAATATGTTATTGAATTTGAATTTGTTAAAAAAAATGAATTTTGTAAAAATGAGAGCCGAACAATGGGTAATCGATAGTGCAACGTGGACATGGAGATGATGGTTGCTCATGGTGGTGGGTCATTAATAGGGGGTGTGTGGGTTAGGATTTGGTAGATATTGTAAGGGAGGAGGTATGGGTTTTAGGGATTTTATATGAAAATAATAAAAATCAAAGAAGATATTAGATAGTGAATAAAATTCAATTAAAAGTATTTTGCAATTTCAGAATAAGTGGAAGCGCTGGGCGTAAACTTCCTAGATTTGTTTATGGAGTGTATCATGTACGACTCGATTTTTAAAATAGCAAGTTGGGAATTAGAAAATTGTATTTGATATTTGTTCTGTGGTGCAAAGTTCTTCAAACTTTAATAGGAAAAAATTGATCTTGAACGTTTTTATTACTTTTGTACCGTTGGTCTTAGTAAATATTTTCCATTAATTTTTTCAATGAAATTACATGAACAAAACATGTGATGCACTGTTTACAGTAGTAAATGAATAAAACTTATATAATTTCCAAGGGTTATGCTGGACGAACATCCCCCGCCAGTAGGGGGCGTTAATTAGGATTGTAAGCAAAAATTGTCAAATTGGAAAATTGGATCGAAACTACATTTTAGAAATCGTCGGTTTGATGCCACGTGAACCCGGTCAACGAAATGGTTTTGAAACAAACCAAACCGGTCAAAATGATTTGGTTTAGGTTTGAGAATTTTAATTGCGATTTAAAACCAAATCGGATCAGCGAAAAAATATATGAAAATAAAAAAATGAATGTTTTTGAAAATTCATCTAAATACGTAAAATTCAATAGTTTTGTCATTTGTGGATATTTTTATCAATATATATCAAATAATCATAATTTATATCTAATAATTTCAATACTAACATAATCTATCAAAAGCCATTTTCCTCTTCAAAATTTAGATGAATTCCAGCCGACACTAACACGGTTTTGAGCCATCGGCACCACACACTTCTTTTTCAAATTTTCACGCCTCTTCAAAGTTGAATTGAAGTCTATTATACCAAATCGGAAATAAAGAGATCCTAGACATTCAATGACAATATTTGCTACGAATAAGATTTCAGAACAATTTTTTTTGAACAAACTAAGGTAAGAATCTGAAATTAAATGCGTTTCATAACATCATACAAACGTAAATTTATGTAATTGTTATGTTTAGATATTATAAACAATTGTTTTATTATTATAGTTGGTTATTCTCTTTGTCTAATTAGTATCACTTTTTCAGATATAATGATCATGAGGTCTTATTGGACATCATTATGTTTTTTGGACCTTATATCTAGTTTAGTAGACTGTATTGTAACGTTATTGTATCGTCATCGGTCTAAAAAAGGTGAACAAAAATGAAAAAGAAAATTATGTTTTAATTTATTGTGATTTCACTTTGATTTAGTTGGTATTTAAATTTATAGTAGATATATTTAGCCCATATTTGAGACATATTTTCCACATCATCATAATGAGAAAATTGACTATTAGAGAGGAGGCTGGGTCCCACACACAAAACAAAAGGTCAATAAAGGCGGTTGGACTTGTGAGATAACGATCCAAATTTTCATTTTTTGTCGTAAAAATTTGGTTCAAACAGGGGTATAGTTTGTTTTAGATTTATTGTTAGTAAGATATAAATTTATATTTAATTCAATGAATTAATTACATAAAAGTAGATAGGAAAAAAATTATATGGCGAAACCGACAGTTTAAAATGGGACCAAATCGTTAGGTTTAGGTTTGAGTTTTTTTTTTTTTTTTCAAACCGTTCAAAATGGTTTAGTTTAGATTTGAACTTTTTTGAAACCGATTTAAACGGTTTGATTTGAATATCTATCAAAAATTAGTAAAATTGGACCGCTTACACTCCTAGCGTCAATTAGGCGTGTTGTCCAAGCATCTTTATCCAATTTTAAATCTCTCTCTCTCTCTCTCTCTCTCTCTCTCTCACTTCTTTAGAAAGCTCACCATTCTACTTTATCCTATTTTTCTTGTACATAAGCACATATTTAACTTACCCAACTAGTTTTAATTGTACCTTTGACAAAACCACCCTTTATATCAAATATTCTTTCTTTCATCTTCTAATTTATTTTCTTCTTGGAATTAGACTGCATGAAGCATGAATTTTCTCAACAGCTCTATCCTATACAAACGCGGAGAGAAATTTCAACATTATTTTGCAATAATTCTTTAATTAATTATGTATAATCTTATTCAGTTCACACTCTGTTGAATCTAAATTTAGAGCCGCCTAGATTAATTAAATGTGTATGTATTCTTTATGCGTTTGGTGCACATGTTGATTGAATATAAAACAACGTACATGCAACCTCACCTACTCCAACGTGGCCCTTGATGGCTAACTTTATAGAATGAGACCCAAACCTAATCCTTAATTTTAATGATCCATTCCTACCATAAATAAATAAACAAAATTGACTGTCTTATTCTAGTGCTCGTACATCTTTTTTAATAAAAAATATAAAATAAAGTAATTTTTATTGATAAGTAATGAAAAGGATCTAATTTGTAATGCAAGTACTCGCCTAATTAAGCATCTTGCATGTGCTTTTTATAACCATTGTTCTAAAAAATTCATCTAAGCTTCGCTTTAACTTGAAATTTGGCCCTGTCGTCTAGTTTACACTTCTTCACATTCAAGTTTTGTCTAGAATTCGTTTAATTACACTTTACGATTTTTAGATATTTTTATAACACATGATTGGACTAACCAATGAATATTAATTACAAACTAATACTAAAAGTCAATTTTTTTTTTAGAAATGTATTAAATCCTTCGATAGAGTTTAGGCCGTTATAAGTTTTAATTTATTGATCTTTTTAGATCAACGTCTACAACAATTTCCATATTTTGAGTTAGACAACTTTACGAAACAAGTCTTTCATCAAAGACTGTCCTTTTAAGTCCTCTTGTTCTTTTGTACCGTGCAAGAAACATGCTAAAATAAATACACAAGGGAGCCCAGCAGCCCCCAGGGCATATCTCCCATTGGCAAAGGGGAGGGCAGATAGGGTTCAGCGCGGCAGTGTGCAGAGTTCGATTCCTCCGTAAGGTGGAATTTGCTTTGTTGCAAGCGGGAGTTACCATATGGGTTAACAGCCTTGATCTATCCATGTGCTCTCCACCCTGGCTCCTGGGAGGCACATCCTGCGATTTACCTCCTCCACGATGGCCCAGGGCAGGATCGGTGGGGGCCCTTAACGTTGGATTCAACCAATTAACAAGGGATCCCAGCAACTCAGTACACAAAATCCATCAACACCATAAAAATTGTCACCGACAACTATCGAAGCTGACACCGACATTGACACAAATATCAAATGTTATATTATTATTTTATTTTATTTCAAACGGAAAAAATGTCTGCGACGAAATTAAAATCAAACTAATAAATCATTTTTTCCTCATTCAACCTGACCGTAGATAAAAATGGAACTTTACACCCATGTGTTCTCACTCAAAGCAACCCACAGATTTCCCATCTCTTGACTTTTATCAGGAATAATGTTATTCTTATCTCTCACTGCGATAGTTGTCCTACATGACATACACATGACAGATAGTTATTTAATGTATTAAATAACTATCTGTTATGTGTATACCACGTAGAGCGACTGTGAATAGCATTACTCTTTTATTAGTAGTACTAAATCAAACAAAATCTTTCGTGTTATTGAATTCGGGCCAATTTTCGTGCAGAAATTCTAGCAAAATATTTGCAAAGAAAAACCAATCATAAAACAGCACGTGTCTACAGTTACTTTTTTTTTATTTCAAAAGATTCTTAAGCATAAAAAAAGTTCTCAATGTGAAAGTAACAAACATTTATTCTCATTTATTTATTTATATTTATATTTATATTTTATATGCAATGACATGGTTTTGCTTGGGTGACAATTTTGGCAGTATTTTACTAGCCGCCGTGTCCCATTAATAATTCGCGAGCTTCCTCATTGCTTTACGAAATTGAATTAAACTATTGCCAATTGTCAAAATTTCTGTTATTTATTTATTGGATACACGGCGTGCTTTTGAAATTTTCTGACATTCACGCGTTTATGTATAGTTTTCCTAAAATTAATAGAACGAAAGTTGAAGCTAAAAAATTTGTTCATACATATTATGGGCTTGTTTGATATAAATTTTGATAATTGATTTTTTTGACTGTTAGAAATAAAGTGAATCCTACTTGTAAGAGAAAAATTCAAAAATGACGACTGTAATAATAAAATACAAATAAAAAAATTGATTTTAATTGACTTTTAAATTATATCAAACAAGTTCTATAGATAATTGAAGGTATCTATAAATAAATAAAAAGTAAGTAACAAAAAAGACAATGAAAAAAGGCCAAAAAAAAAAAATAATAATAATAAATAAAAAAATTCACTTCTTCGAAAGCTATAATTTAACGAACAATTATCCATTCTAGACAAAACTTTGTTAGGTCGAATAGCAAAGATACTTTAATGTTAATCCATTTGAAAATAATGTATCCTATGTGATCTGTCTTTCTTATAATATTCAAACAAAACTTCATCACGTAGTTTTAAGCTTTTGACCAGTACCTACCACATCATTATATACCCCAAACCATTTCTCCATCCTCAATCGACCCCAAAATCTCGATCCAATCACCAAAAATGAGTTTCTTTAAACCCCTTTATGCAATTTTTATGCTTCTTTTCGTCGTCCACAGCCATGGGATATTCATCAGAGTTCAAAACAACTGTCCCTACACAATCTGGCCTGCAGCCGTGCCTGGCGGAGGCCGCCGCCTTGACAGTGGTCAAACATGGACTATCGGCTACCCTTCAGCGAAGTCAGCCAAAATCTGGGCTCGTACTAATTGCACGTTTGATTCATCGGGCAGGGGTAAGTGCCTCACCGGAGACTGTGGAGGCCTGCTTGAATGCAAAGAGTTAGGTGCAGAACCGGCGACTTTAGCTGAATACGGCCTGAACTCCTTCGCCAGTAAAGACTACTACGATATCTCTGTGATGAAAGGGTTTAACGTGCCGTTATCGTTGACCCCTACGTCAAATGGATGCACGAAGAGCATAAGGTGTGCGGCGGATCTGACTGCACAGTGCCCGAATCAATTGAAAACTCCCGGCGGATGCCATAATCCGTGCACGGTGTTTAAGACCACTGAGTACTGCTGCGGCTCAGGGCGGTGCCTGCCTTCGAATTTCTCGAGGTTTTTCAAGATTAGATGCAGGGATGCCTTCACGTATCCTGAGGATGATCCCACCAGCACTTTCACTTGCCCCGCAGGCACCAGTTATAGAATCGTGTTCTGTCCTTGATCAGATCAACACCGACACCGCGCCGCTGCAGAATTTGGCCGGAGAAATTGGTAAAGTAGGATTATGAATAAAAATCTAGTGATATGAACTTGTGAGGTAACCTACTATCATATGGTGGGGTATTACCTATTTCTTGTAGAGTAATTGCCTTATTTCATTGGTACTTGCTTTGATAATTATTGATTATGTATTTGTGTTTTTCTTTGAAGAGTGTTCATTTTGTGGTCTTTTTCTATATAATAATTGCTCTTCTTGTTGTTAAGGTGGAGAAATAATGTTTGATGTGATATTTGCTAAGCAAAATAAGATTAGAGTGATCAATTTAATGATCAAGATTTGAATTGATGCATCATTGTCCAATCTTTGTTAACACAAAACATGTCATATCGGCACATAGGGATGATGATAGGATGGGTCTGAATCGAGGGTGATCATTACCATCCCCATTTCGTTAGGACTTTTTGTGGAAAACAAACTTTACTTGTTTGATGACACATACACTTAACATTGGTACTAAATATTTATCGTTAACGCTTTTAATTGAGTGATCATTAATGTAAAATTAGAAATTTGAGTGATTATTGTAATTACTCAAACTTCATTGTTAATCCTTATTCCCACTTTTGTATACCTCGCACTAACTGCATTTTTTCTAGAAGATATGAGGGATATATGGTGAATAATTTTATCTGACTTAACTTTTTACCATTTTGTGGATCAAGAAATTCATGGCTGGCCTTTTTTGCGACAAAGTGGAGACAATTGCGTGCAAGCTACACATAGTTTCCTAGAAATTAAGTTGTGTCGCATCATAATTAACATGAATTGGTTAATGGAGCAATTTTTTTTTTTTTTGGATGACGGAAGAATCCGTAGTTGCGACCCTTCGTATGCGCATTGGGTAAGTGTACATACTTATTTCGGTAGGAAAGTGTACATACGCTAAGAATTTTATTTGAAATCAAGTCACGGGTAGCTAAAATATGTATTAATAATGAAAAAAAATGAATATATTATAGGATGGATCATAGAACCAATCTTCAATCTATAAAAAGTACAAAAAATAAAATTAACTAGTCGATCAATTATTAAGATGAAAAATTATTGAACCAATTTTGAAAAAAATGAGCACATTTTTTTGTCATGGATGACATCTTTCTATTTTTCCTTTGATACTTTTTTTTTTTTTTTTGTCATGGATGACATCTTTCTATTTTTCCTTTGATAAATTTGTTTTACAACATCTAAATTCAGCATTTGCTTCTTTATAATTTAAATTCAAACTGTTTGAAAACATTATTTAAGAATAGACCGATTGTTGTTATTGTTAATTTTAGTATCACAAGTAGAAGAAATGGTTGCATATGACTAAATCTCAAGAATGTTTTACAATATAAAATTAACAACCACCACAACAAAAATAGTAATAATACATATTACGAACAATAACAATTTCTCAACTCAGTGCTCTAAGTGGAAGAAGATGTTGCATACTCGTAGTTTATAGTCACCCTAGATATGCTACCTTGTACAAGAATGTCCTAACGTGAATTGCATACTTGAGTTGTCCCGTTTTAGAGTAGAATGAAGAATTGAGAAATTATTTGAAAAAGTCTTACTACACATGATTAAATTGTGCCTATGGTTAACTTTCATCTTGGATTAGTTAGGTAGTCTTATCGTGAAACATGTCTTGTAAGCATTTTCTATGCAACAATATTGACGAACTTCACTTTGTGGAGATTTAAGATTTTATAGTGCAAGTGTACATTTTTTTTTTAGTAAAATCTGTAAGTTGGGTATCGAGTTAGAATATGGTTTATAGGTAGTCGTATTAACAAGTATTTTTTAAAATGAGGAATTAGCATAAAACCTTCCCACGACTTGCATCGTTCATATCGTTTCAAACTTAACATTTGCATTCTTATTTCAATATTTTCTTGCGGAGTTGGTCATTTTCGTCTCCTTCCATCAATTCTTTCAGTTAAATAAGAATAATTAGTATAAAATATCCTTATCATTTGCCTTCGTTATGTAAATCATCCATATATTTTCAATTTGGCATTTGAATTGTCAGATCAACCTTTCTTTACACAAAAAGTCCTTATAGACTATTTTTTCCATTAAAATATTGTAAAATAACTAATTTATCCATCCTTTAACAGATGAAATTGATTGTAACATTTTTTTTTATTTTTTATTTTTAGCAAAGAAAGGATGGTCTTAAGGGTCCAAATGTTAAAATTGAAATGATATGGACGATTTGCTCTAATTCCCTATATTGGACGGAAGGAATTGATCAAATGAGACGGAAACGACCAACTCCGTAAGAAAATGTTGAAATGAGAGTGCAAATGGCAAGTTTGGAATGATAGAGATGTATTGTGCCAATTGCCGATTCCAAAATCCCTTTTAAGTGCTATATGTGTCAATGTCCCAAAAGCATTTGCTTTCACAAACCCATTAAGTTTGATCCAAATTAAATGTAGATGGATACCTTCACGTGATGGGTTTACCAATTGGGTTAATCCCCTGAAATGAGCTTTTAAGATGGCCCAAAACCAAATAAATAAAATGCAATAATTTTATTAAATAAATAAATCCCGATTAATAATTTATGTATTTCAAACCAACAAGCTTAATTATCCATTGAATAATAAATTAACTATATCCTATTTTTAGGCATGTATAACATATTTGGCACATTCAAATTGAAAGTAAATTGAATAAATGAAGAAGAATTTTAAAGTTTCAATAACGAATTGATTATTGTTTTTATTAGCTTTTGTAATAATGTTATTAAGCTTTTGATCCAATTATTTTTAAAATATATTTTTCTCTATTATTTTCAGTTACACATTATCCAATAAAATAATATTGCACCCAAATTTTTTTAAAAAAAAATTCTTATTTCTTAACAACACATTCTCCATCAAAATCACTATTCTAAAATACATTTTTAGCAAAAAAATAGGGCTCAAAAAGGCTAGCTTCAATTTGGTAGAGATTAAAATCATACTTTTAGTGAATTTTGATAGAAATTGATGAAATATGTAATTAAAAAATTATGAATCCCATGAAATGTATGATTAATATTAATTATTAATTTTGACTTGAATTAAAATCTTAATGTTGACACATAAAAATTCAGCCCAAATCGAACAGCCCAAGGAATAAAGCCCAATTGAAGGATCCCCAAATCGGATAGCCCAAAGAACGAAGTCCAATCAAACGAATCAGGGTGAAGGCCCAAATACCAAGAATGCGGGACGCCATCGCCCAAGTTTGCGAGTCGCCCAGAATCTGAACGAATGGGGTGTCATACGGTCGCCCAGAGCTGTTATTCCACTCTCGCCCAAACCTTCAAGTCGCCCAAGGTGTCAACAAATATAACGCATCGTGGTTATCAAGGAATGCAGTTATCAAGGCAGTTTTTAAAGTAGTATTATCACGTTCCACGACTCAAGGAATTCAATCGAAAGCATTTGAACGATGAAAGATAATGGCAGCAGGTAAGAGGCAGTTTCATGACAAAATGGCCACTACAAAGAAAGTGGGAAGTTATAGGACGATCAAGCAGTTTTCAGGGTAGTTAATCACAAAGAGATCGTCTAGGAGGTATAAAAGGGAGAAAGGACGTAGAAGCAAAAGACCGAATCCAAAAACTCTCGAACAGAGAATATGTAATTTTCATTTCCTTAGCTTTTAGACTTAAACATTTTTCTGTAACTCGTGTGCTTGCGCCTCTTGGAGGCACGTTGTTTTTCATTTCCAATTGTAAAGTCCATCGCCAATAAAAGAACATCCCTTTTTGGGACTTTGTCTCAAGAGGTTTCGTCTCTTACACAATCGTCTGACCCTTTTTAATTGTTAGCGACTTAACCCGTGCGGGAGTTCTACATTTGGGCTAATTCATTTGCCATTTGGGCTAACTCAGTTGCCATGTCGTTATATATCCTATTAACGCATTGGAGTTCTACTTGATCGAATTCTTCTAGTAATTCTTGGGCGATCTCGTACTGACTTATAATGGAATCACTTTGGCATTTAAAATCACCGATTAGTTGATGGATCACCAATTGAGAATCGCCCCTAACGATCACATTTCTTATTCCCATATCTACCATTACTTCTAGGCCTACTATTAAATCTTCATATTCGGCCTGATTGTTGGTGCACATTCTGTCTAAGGTGAATGCAAACTTGTAGCAAATCCCTAAAGGATTAATCAATGCTACCCCCACTCCTGCACCTTTAGAGGTTTTTGACCCATCGAAATACAACACCCAAGGTTTTAATTCGAACAAATTGATATCTAATTCGATTTCTTCAGGCATGTCAAAGCATGGATGATCGGCTAGAAAGTTAGCCAAAGCCTGATTTTTGACTGCCTTTTGAGGTATATATTGTATTTCGAACTCTGATAAAGCTAGTGTCCAAAGGCCTACCCTTTGGTGTAAAATAGGGCGCGAGAACATATACTTGACTAAATTTACTTTAGAAATTAAATAAACGATTACGGGCCGTAAATAAGCCCTTAATTTTGTACATGTGAAATACAGTG